GTTGCTCGTGGGTTGAACCAAGAAGCAACACAGGAAGAGAACAATGGTCAGAGAAGGGGAAATAGTCTTAGGGTTGCCGGAACTCAGAGACGGTGGTTTAGGTTTTAAACTGAAACCTAAAGGCAAGTTTCATTCTATCTCTTTCCCGTAAACTTGTGTTTTGTGCATTCTTGACAGTCTCTAGGGATTAATTCAACTTTTAAAACTGGTTGGTTGATGCATGTTATCGGACTGTAATTTGTTTTTACGTTTAATTAACTGAAATCGGTTTCTTGCATAAACTGTGTTAATTATGGTTTAAATATTTGTTAATCAAATTCATAATGGAATTTGAGGAGTTTCTAGGACTGATGGGACTTAAATTGAACCTTAATAACTTTAAAAAAAAAATTGGAACAGAGGGTTGAACTTCGCCGGAAGCGAAGAAGACAAACAGAGGAAGCGGAGAAGGAAAAATGGAGGCTGGGAGAGTGGAGCCCGCTCCACATTAAGTAGAGGCGGCTCCAAGGGGAGTGGAGTTGGCTCTACCTTAAATTGGATACGGCTCGTCTTTTGTAAATGCTCAGTAAATGGGTTTTGATGGTTTTTCGGACTCTAGGGGCTTAAATGTAATTTCTGGAAAGTGATGTGGGGTTTTAAAATTTAAAATTAACCTATTAAAACCTTAAAATAGTTAGTATATGCTAGTGTGTTAATATTAATGGACATCATAAATTTTTAAAAATTAATGTACATGCTGTCCAGGAGGAGGAAGACTTAATTTCTAGTTTGTTTAGCCAATTGAATGGACTGAAATGAAAGATATTTTAGGGATGTTATATCAAAGATATATAACACATAATTAAGGCTCAGGAATGTGGGTGTGTGATTTGGAAAGGGACGTCATGAAATTTAGTTATTAATTTACATGCTATCAGCAGTTGAGGAAGTTTTACTTGTTGGTTGTGTTTTAACTAATTTAAATGGATTAGTATCAAAATACTATTGGGGTTTCATAATGTGCAGTTTAGACTTCTAAGTGTCATTAGATCATGCACAGGATTTATAGTTAAGGATTGAATGGATGTCGTGAGATTCGAATAGTAATCTGCATGCCGTCAAAAATTAAGGAGGATTTGATTTCTGGTTTTAATTTAGCAAATCAAATGGACTAGTATGGAAGTATTTTTGGCATTCTAGTATAATGTGCTCAATTATAATTCTGTTTATCATTATATCGTGCTATGGATGTTAATTGATGAACTGTTATAATTTCTGTTTTGTCAATTATATGGATATGGATGATTAAATTGTTTATTGTACTTTGACAATTTAAATGGAGAATATATGATTAGAATCATATACTGGATACATAATAGAACCTTGCATATATTTGACTTCTATTATGTTTGTCTCTGGATATATTTGATGTTTAATTGAATGTGCATCATTTATGGATCATTTGCATTATATGCACCTGTAATACCCCTAATTTTAAAAAGGATATTCCTGGTATTTAATGGTATTTAATTTATTATTTAAGTACATTTTATTTGATTATGTGTCATTATTTTTTTATTAGGTGCTTAATTATTTTCTTTTGTGGTGATTTAATTTATTTAAATGATATTTATTTTTAGTTATTTGATTGGAATTACTTGTTAGTGTTTTAATTATTTAATTGGTATTAATGGTTTAAGTGTAATTGGTTTAATTATTCTATGTGTGTCTTATTTTATGTGTGTCTTATTTGGTTTAATTGGGTTTATTAATTATTATTTTGTTCAATTAGATTATTTGTTAAGTATTTAATGGTGAATAAGGTAAGTAGGTAAATACATCTAACTAGGGTTTTAATTACAGTATAAATTAGGGTTTTATATTATAGCCGTCGTAGGTTTCTACGTTAATTGGATGTGCCGGTTAAGATTGTGAGTTGGACTTAAATGAACCTAGGGTTTAGGAAAACTCTATAAGTATAAGGTAGACGTCTGTGTAAGGTTTTTTTAAACAAAGCACACGTTTTGTGGAAGTGGAGAATGAAAAACGCAGTTTTTTCCATTCTGCCCAGATTTCATTAAACATCCGATCTTGCTTCGTCCGTGGTCCGATCGAGCTGAATTTTGGACGAGAGGTTCACAACTCAGTGACGCACAATCTGAACGGTGAAGATCAGAGTTGACCTCAGGAACAGTGATTCGTACTCGTGAACAGTAACCGGGTCGCACATGTTTTTTCCATTCTGCCCATATTTCATCAAACATCCGATCCCGCTTTGTCCGTGGTCCGATCGAGCTGAAATTTGGAGGAGAGGTTCACCACTCAGTGATGCACAATCTGAACGGTGGAGATCAGAGTTTGACCTCGGAAACAGTGATTCATACTCGTGAACAGTAACTAGGTCGCACAGGTTTTTTTTTTTTATTCTGCCCAGATTTCATCAAACATCCGATCCTGCTTCGCCCGTGGTCCGATCGAGCTAAAATTTGGAGGATAGGTTCATGACTCAGTGTCGCACAATCTGAACGGTGGAGATCAGATTTTGAGTTCAGGAATAGTGTTTCGTACCCGTGAACAGTAACCGGGTTTTGGAACTCGCCGGGATTTTTTTAAGAAGACGACGTTGAAACTTTGAACAAAAGTTTCTGAGGCAAGATTCTATCCTTACTCTTTCCCTTAGGCTTCATACTCTTTGCACTCTTAAATGATTTCAGGATTAATGAAGATTAAACCAAACTAAAATGATATCTGTTTTGCTGTGAAACTGGTAGTTACAGTAGTGTTGTATGCTTGTTCAACCTAGACTAAGCATGTTTGTGGATGCATTGTGGTTCTGTGGTTCACGTTTTTCCTTACCACTGCTAGTATAAATTATTGGAAGGATGGGTCTAAATGATGGCTATCTTAACTTCTGTAATAGCAACTGTTGGAACTTAAATACTAGGAGGATTTGAGTTTAACACTAGATCGGTTTTGTGGAACACTATAATTTGAGCATGTCTACATACATATTATGAATATTGTTTTGATGCTTACATTATCACAGTTAGTATCAACTGTGGAGGTTAGGATTTTGTGATACATACCCTACATATCTGTATGTCATTTGTAAGGTATTAAATGGAAGTTTTAATTAATTCTGTCTTTATATCAGACTAAAGGGAACAACTTCAATTGGGCATGTATATGTTGTTGTTGTGACCCTGTTTATCAATGCTTATTTTATCACTGCTAATATTAAATGTTGGATGTTGGAATTTAGTTGATATATACTTGATTTATTGGTATTATTGACTACTGGATGATTGGAAAGTAGGCACCGGTATGGGACGGTGGCATACGAAGGATGTGTTTTGTTTTTAAAACAATACCATTACCCACCTACTTGGAATAAGGATGGGATTAACTAAAAGTTAAGTCCCGTGGATTTGTATTGTCATGGCAACTACTTGTTGAGCGGCAATACCAGGGATTTTGGATGGATTTTATATATGTACTGTTATGGTGCCTCGGTATGAGCTTGAGCCTCAGGACCGATGGCTAGGGAGCGTATATGCATCGGGGTGTGTAGCTGGCTACGATGGTTGGAGGTGTACCCTGTTTAGGTATAGGTACATATGCCCACTTCGTGTGCGTTTTAGCATGTTACCTCTATTCAGGTTGAGACCGGCCTATAATCCAGTGAGAGTCCTTTAGTGTGACTATATATATATATATTTACGGACTATTAGCTATTGTTGAATTGTTTAGGATGTACATGCGTATCGGGCCTCTGTTTGGATTGTAGTAGTATAGAACTTGCGTGTGGGCCTGACCCACTTCTATTTTTCAGGTACACAACAGTTCCAGGCTTAGACGTGTTCGTGCTGAGCAGAGGTCTCTATTCACTCTTCCGACGATGTAGGGCTCTCTCTATAGTTTTATTTCTGGACGTTTATTACAGTTGTTCTATCTTCCGTTTGGATGTTTAATAGGGGTCCACTAGAGATGGATTCCCAAGTTGTAAACTGATGGAGTTTTGGAGTTTGGGTTTGATGGATTTTTATAATTATAATATTTTGCGGATTCTATTTTTAGTTCCTTCCAGCTTTAATTTCATTTCTTAATTTATTTTGTATTCCGTGTTCATTATAAAATATTAATTGTTTGATATTCCCTCGGGTTTGGGCCTGGGCCTGATCAACCCGTGTCTCGGATCCGAGAGGTATCTCATTGAGTGAAGATGAAGCATATAGGTTGTATTGTCAGCATGCTTTAAGGAAGGGTTTCATTGTTCGGAAAGGAAATCTTCGGAAAGGTAATGATGGGGCGATTAGGCAAAGGGAATACTTGTGTACAAATGTCGGACATTATGATGGTGAATATTCTGAATTGAAAAAGATTAGAAGATTGGTGAGGAAAACAGGATGCAGTGCTATACTTCAATTTACCATTACAAATGGGGTATGGGAGGTAACTCATTTCAATGATGACCATAATCATGAATTTGTAGATTCTGAAGAGAGGCATTTTCTGAAAATAAATAGAAAAATAGATGTTGGCAGTGCAAGTGTTATCAACTCCATGATTGATGCAGGTATAAGGGGAACAAAGACATTTTCATATCTCTCAAAAGAAGTGGGTGGTCCTGAAAAAGTAGGGTTCACTCAAAGAGAGTGTCACAATTTCATTAATAGAAAGAAACAAAAATTAATTGATAGAGGAGATGCTCAAAGTGTGATTGATCACTTTAAGAATTGTCGAGCCAAGGACCATATATTTTTTCACAGTGAAGAATTAGACAATGAAGGTTGCTTAGTAAATTTTTTTTTTGGAGAGATGGGCAATCAAAAGTAGATTATGATTATTTTAGGGATGTGGTGATTTTTAACACAACATATCGAACAAATAAGTACAACATGATTTTTGCACCATTTGTGGGAATCAACCATCATCGAAAAAATATTTTATTTGGTTGTTCCTTTCTTTTAAATGAAACCACTGAGTCATTTGTTTGGTTGTTTGAAACAATTTTGGAAGCAATGGGGAATCGAGCACCAAAGACAATATTTACAGACCAGTGTCAAGCAATGACAAATGCCATAAAGAAGGTTTTTCCCGATACTTGTCATTGCCTTTGTTTGTGGCACATTTCAAAAAATGCTACTCAAAGAATAGGAAGCTGGTATGTGAATAATGAGTTTAAGGGTTTCTTCAATAAATGTTTACATTGTGAAAGTATGGATGACTTTAAATTTACTTGGAGTGACATGATATCAAGGTTTGATCTCGAAAACAATGCGTGGCTCAAGTCCCTTTATGAACTTAGGGAAAAGTGGTGCCCAGCCTTTAGCATGAATACTTTCACTCTTCATACAAAATCTACTCAAAGAAGTGAGACCATGAATAATGTGTTGCATATGATATCAACTAAAACTATGACCTTAAGGGAATTTGTGCAACACTATGAAGAACAGTGTGAGAAAATGCGTTTTGCTGAAAGTGATGAAGATTTTCGTTCCAAGCATAGCCAAGTGCAGCCAAAATTAGTAGGTAGTGCAATTTTGACACAAGCTGCTAATGTGTACACAATTACTATATACTATCTATTTGAAGAAGAGTTCCTTTCTAGTTTGAAAGTGCATTTGGAACAACTTTGTAATGTTGATACACTTTATACTTATCGAGAATTTCAGGACTTCCTTGGTAAACATTGCATCACAAAGTTTGACTCATCTAATTGCAATGTTGTTTGTTCTTGTATGACGTTTGAGTCAACAGGGTGGTTATGTCGACATGCATTTAAAGTTTTTGATGCTTGGAATATCACCCAAATACCGTCTTGTTATATTTTAGATAGATGGAGTAAATGTGCAAAAGATAGAAACATAGATTTTGAGCTTGGTGAGTCATCTACAAATAAGAAATCATCACTGACAGTAGAAAGAAATACCTTGGTTCAACAGTCATGTCGTGCTATAGATTACTTGGTTATGACAGATGAGGGAAAGAATGTGGCGAAAAAAATGATGTAGGATGAAGCTCAAAGATTTATGGAGAATAGCAATCCAAGTAAAGAAAATGTTGATTGCAATCTAACCAAGGAGAGTTGTGAACAACGGGAGGAAATGCGTATATTTGATCCTTCACGTGTGAGGGAAAAGGTTTTAACAAATGCTTGAATAAAAAGCAATTTGGAAAACAGGAAACGTAAACAGCAAAAAGGTAAGAATTTGAAACTTGATTACTGTTATTGAATAAAGATATATAATATAATTGATTTTAATTATTTCTTGTAGGAAAAAGAGGAGCATAACCTTTCAAATGTTCACAGAACACTTTTGGTATGTCAAATGCTCCATTGGTTCACTTTCAACCTCCAATGAGCGTAAATCATTGCGGCCCGAGTGTTCATCACGAGGTAATTTTATTTTTGCTCCATTGATTCATAATGCAATACTTCAATTTTATGATTGTTTTAAAAGTTTTATGTTTCATAGGATTTAAGTTCAAATTGGAGTTTAAGCCAACCTGGATATAGTTTCATATCACATGCTACTCAGGTATTGTGTTTTATAGCTTATGAATTTCATTTAGGTAATATGGTACTAATTTGTTCTTAGGTGATTAACCATATATTTCTTAATATGTTTCTAGGAGTCGTTTACAAATATTCAAGAAGATTTTGGTGCTGGACAATGAACAATGATGCTGCCAATTGAAGAAAGAAGAATCAAATTGGTGTTATGATGATGTTAATGTATTGTGATATGATCTTTGTTGAAATTCTAAAAGCAGGTTGCTACACTTGCAATTTTAGTTAAATCCTTATTTGTTTGCTGCACTTGCAATTTTACATGAGATGGAGAATTCTATTGTTATATCTGGAATCCTTATTTGTTTGTTGCAGTTGTAATTTTACAACTTGGTTCTAGTATTGTTATTAGATTTGAAACAATTCGACCAAAATGTATTTCTTTCTGTTGTTGTGCTAAGTGGTTCTTTAATTTTATGCTACCAGTGTGTTATAATTTAAGGAAAAAAGTTCAATCCAGTGTGTTAACTGAGACCATTAAGAATTATTCAAAATCTTTCTATCAAGAGCAGTTTCAACAACACAATATTTACAATCTCCGCCAATATGTTGATGTGCTTGTCCAGAATTCATATGACAAAAGATCACATAATTTGAGAAATAATCATTTTATCATACTTAGTCTAGTGACCTTTGTATCATTGATCAAAACATTACTGAGAACTTTGCTACAAACAATAATCAAATAGAAGGAGAAAATATGCAAAACACCTCCAAGAAAGAAAAAAAAAAAAAACACACACACACACACATATTCAAAAAAACGCTTCATCTATATACAAAACCAGTTCTTTTTATTTTTTCCAAAAAAAAATATATATATACAATGGGGAGGATCTGGAATGGAGTAGGTGGAGAAGCAACCGGAGAGGTACCACAAAAGGCGAATAGGTTGCCGGCGAAGTTCAGAAATTGCAGGCAAAGACGACTGAACGATAGCGGATCTGAACTGTTGTCCTGTTCTTATCGGCGAGAGCACGGGACTGTCTGCTCGGCAAGGAGAAAGGACTGTGTACGGAAGATGGTGAACATGTCGCCGGCGAAGTTCAGAAACCGGGGCAAGGATTCCTTCAACGAGAATGACGGCTTTGAGAGAAAAAAGAAGATCTGAAATTAGGGAATCAAATTAATTTGAAGACAGGATTGTGTACGAAAGATGGAACAAAAATTTTGTCAGAAAAAAGATGATCTGAAATTTTTAGGGACTCAAATAGTCAAATTTGCAGAAAGGGAAGTATAAGATTTGGGCAGAAAGTTGAAATTTTTGGGTACAAAAAGAGACGCCATTTTTGTTTGGATTTACGAGGAATCTAACGTGATCTTAATAGAGCTGTGCCAAATCTATTAGCTTGTGATGCCATGTCAGCAAAGTGACGTGGAATTACCGTTGTTGCTAATAATTTCTCCCGATTTACCTTCCAAAACAAAAAAAACAAAAAAAAGTGCCAGCTATTTCCACGTCACCCATTCCACCTTTTACATCCAAAATAAGCCACAAACACAATGCGTCATGCATGATGCAAAAGTCTTCCAACGACCTACTACTATTCTTGATTTCATTGAGGTCAGAATAAGAAGGTTTAGTCAAAATTTGCAACTCATTTCTTGCTAAATACTCTTATATATACATATGTCTATATATATAATTATTACAAATTAATTTAGCTATACATCAATGGAACTTTCTTGGGTTTACACTTGTCTCTCTGTTCTCCTCCTTGTTCTAGCTTTTAACTTCTTGTCAAAATCACGAAACCGACGACGAAACCTCCCGCCGAGCCCACCGGCTCTTCCAGTCATAGGTCATCTCCACCTACTGAAACCACCTCTCCACCGAACTCTACACAGCCTGTCACAAAAATACGGCCCCATCATCTCCCTTCAGTTCGGGACTCGCCCGATTGTCGTCGTGTCTTCACCGTCCGCCGTAGAGGAATGTTTCACCACGAACGACGTCGTCCTCGCCAACCGCCCGCACTTGTTGATAGGCAAGTACGTAGGCTACAACAACACCACGATGGTGGGGTCCCCCTACGGCGACCACTGGCGCAATCTCCGACGCCTCAGTGCTCTCGAGATCTTCTCAACCAGTCGACTCAACGCCTTTCTATCCATTCGAAGGGACGAAATCAAGCTTTTGTTATCGAGACTGTACAAAAACTCATCCAACGGTTTCGCTAAAGTTGAGCTGAAAACAAAGCTTTCGGAGCTGAGTTTTAATATCACGATGACAATGATTGCAGGGAAGCGGTATTTTGGGGAAGACGTGACCGACGACAACTACGAGGAGGCGAAGCAGTTCCGGGAGCTGATAAAAGAGGTGTTCAAGTACGGTGGTGCAAATAATCCCGCAGATTTCTTGCCGGCTTTACGATGGATTGATTATCAGAACGCGGAGAAAAATCTGGTGCGAATTAGTAAGAAGATGGATGCGTGTTTGCAAGATCTGATTGATGAGCATCGACGCCGTAAGAGTAAGGTTACCATGATCGATCACTTGCTTTCCCTACAAGAATCTCAACCAGAATACTACACCGATCAAATCATCAAAGGGCTTATAATGGTCAGTATATATATATATATATATGCAAATCTACAATATGTTCGAATACTCTGAGAGATTATAATTTATTTACTTGTAATGTGCAGAATATGTTACTTGCGGGCACGGATACATCTTCAGTGACAATAGAATGGGCTATGTCTCTTCTCCTTAATCATCCTGAAATCTTGAAAAAGGCAAGAGTCGAGTTGGAAACTCACGTAGGACAAGATCGCTTGGTTGAAGAGTCAGATCTCTCAAAATTGAATTATCTCCACAACATCATTTTAGAAACATTTCGATTGTGCCCGGCAGCACCACTCTTACTACCACACATGTCCTCAAATGATTGTACTATTGGTGGATTCAACGTGCCACGTGGCACAATATTGTTTGTCAATGCTTGGGCCATTCACAGGGATCCTATGACTTGGGATGACCCTGAAAGCTTTAAGCCCGAAAGGTTTGGAAGTGGAGAAGTTGAGGCGCACAAGCTAATTCCATTTGGGATGGGCAGGAGGTCCTGTCCTGGTGCTGCACTCGCTCAACGTGTGGTGGGCTTGACTTTGGGTTCGTTGATTCAGTGTTTTGAGTGGGAGAGAGTAAGTGAGAAGCAAGTTGATCTCACTGAAGGAAAAGGACTTACCATGCCCAAAGCTGAGCCATTAGAGGGCATGTGTAAAGCACGTGACATTATGAAAAAGGTCGTTATTCCTGAAGCAGCGTGATGATATTGGAGCAATTTTTGTTACATGCTATAAATATATTTTTAAGTTTGTAGTACCTTAAATATGTATTTTACAGCTTCTTAACCATTTACTTTTCGTGTTCTTTGAATATGTTGTTATTGTACTTAAGTTTTAACAAGCCTGTGTAAACAAACAAATTGGTCTGAGAAATAAGATAACAACAGGACTGCCTTTTGCATTGTACTTAAAAGTCCAAACAATGTTTTTGCTTCAAAAACGTATTGTCTAGCTCAAACTCATTAAATTGAGCAGTCTTTTTAAGTTCAATATTGATTCTGTGGAGGTATTATATAAGGATAAATAACATAAAATTATATTATATGTATGATTTGTAAGTGAATATACATATTTTATACTTACCATATAATGATGCGTAATAGTTGTCACCAGATTTAAAAATATAAAATAAAAAAAAGCATAAAACCCTCTAAACCCTATTTTTGATGGTAAACACTTTGGACATATTTTAATATTTTTCAAACTAGTTTATGGCAATAATTTTAGGGATTATTACATATAAATGGGGTTAGAGTTTCATATTTACCAAGAGGCTGAGTCAAAGTCTCATATTTCTTAAAAATGAGGTTGACTAAATTGATGACATGGCACATGAATTATTACTGTTTAAAACATGTGGTGCCTAAAATGCCCTTCTCACTATTCCAGCACATTTACCTTATTGCCCCCGTTTAATTTAGTCACTCAACTTGTTGCCCTAAAATACACAGTCACAAATCCAGCGAAGCAAGCCCAGGCAAACACAGCATCACCGAACATGGAACCCTAACCCTCCCTCGTCTCATTCGTGAAGAGCCCTTAAGAGTCCTCTCTCTCTCTCCCCCCATCTCTGTAACAGGATTGAAGCGTAGCCGTTGAGCCCTAACCCTCATTCAAGCCCTCTCTCTTTCCCCCTCTGTAACAGCAAAGCACTTCTCCAAGTCTAACCGTCGTTGGTGCACCCTCTCTGTAACCCAGCGAAGCACTTCTCCACTTCTGCCATTCATTTATTGTTGTTCTAGTAATATGGTAAGTACTCTCTCCCTCTTAACACACACACGTTTATATTTTAGATGATTATGGTCCTGATTTAGTGTTATAATATTTTTTTTTTTTTTTTTTTTTCCAATTGGATGTCTGATTTTCATGGAG